GAGTGTGGTATGGATGAGTGTATGCCAATCATGGTCCATAAATTATATAGTTTGATTGCTCAATTTTTAAACCTCTAAAGATATTTTGTGGAATTAAAGTTTGGATATAACTCATAACATAATTTAAGGTTAAATTATTAGTTTTATAATAAATTTTGTTAGCAATTAATTACTTTCAAGAAATAATTATATATGTCTATTATGCACATTGGTGATAGTTTAATTGTGGCAGTGCATGAAATTTTTAAAATCTTAAAGAAAAGATATTTGATAAAGTTTTAAGAATTTTATAATTTGTGTATCTTGATTTATTTAAGATATTAATGTAATCTCATATGATTTTCTTTGAGTATTAAAGTAAAGGAACCATTTAGTATTGAAAGTCTTTTCAGAAGTTTTAAAATTCTCTCAATTCATAAATTAAAGAATTACTATTATTAAAAATTATAAAAGATATGATTGAGAGGGATTATAGAACCATATATATAGATGATAGTCCTAATAATGTTTTTTGATTAATATGAATATCAAAATTTATTTATTAGGACTAATAATTTCTATCACTTAAGATTGTTGGAATATTAAGAAATTTTGTTCCAATGAGATTGGTTAATCTTTCAATAAGAATTTTGGAATATTATATTATTTATAAGTAATTGTTCAAGTGGGAGCTTATGATTTGATGTGAATGGTACTACCAAAGTAGACCATTTATTGAAATTCATATGTTTTCTCAATAAGGATTTTAGAATGTTATATTATTTATAAATAAGTGTTCCAGTGGGAGTATATGAATTGATGTGGGTGGTATTGTCAAAGTGGGTCATCTATTAAATTCATATATTTCTCAATAAGGATTATGAAATATTTATTTCTTGAAATTAGTGTGTATAATCACCTGTCCAAAGAGGGAGATTGTGCATATTAACTAAAAGAAGTGTGAGTGATTAGTAAGGGTCTTAATTTTGGTTTTAATTTTGGTTTTATAGAGAATTTTTTACCCAAAGGGGATTATTTTCTATGAGACCATTCTTATTAATTCACTTGTAATAAAACTTTTGGAGTTTAATAAAGTTCATTCCCATTAGTTATATTAAATTACTATGTAATTAAAATTAGTTGATCTATTGGAAAGATCAAATATGAATTATTAAAGTTAAGGAATAAAGTTACTACTTTGATGTTAATGTGTGCAATATTCTGTTCAAATGTGATTGTTGTATGTATTAACTTGAAGTAATGGGAGTAATTAGTAAGAATAATAAATATTCATTTATATTTACTAAAGGTTAATATTCCTACTAATTGACTTATTAAGGTTTAATTTTATGGATTTATTTAATCAACATAAAGTGCAAATAAAGTAAAGTATAGTTGTGTCTTAAACTCTTGTGAGTTAAAGTGAATCATGCTATGAATTAAAACACAGATTGTAAAACTTATAGAAATAAAGAGTTATAATTAAAATTATATTGCCAATGTGCAATTGGTGTTAATTTATGTATCTTTTATGTGATTCGTATCTTGATTGCACATAGTTTGATTAAGTTTGGAGATAGATGTTTCTTAGCATGGTGGATTTGAATTGTACAATATTACTATTATGTTATTCAACTAGAAAAATGGTAAAAAGGCATTAATAATTATGATAAGAGTGATGCAAAATTGAAGATTTTGTGAAATTTCTATTATTATTTAAGGAAATAACTTTTTTTGATTAAAAGATATTTAAAATGCTATGATGGAATAATATATCTAGAAAATTAATGGGAGTTAAATAGTTTATTACTCTCAATCATTCAATGTATAATGAATGATAAGATTATGGATATGAGAAAGTTGCTTGGGTACAATAGGGAAACTTTTCGACACGTGTTATGAATTATATGAAAAATAATTCTTATAAAAGATGGAATGACCTTTATTAAAGTTGATAAAATCTTGTCACTCTTATATTTTTTGTATTTGATTAAAGTTTAAAGATCATGTTAAATTTTGAGTAATGATAATGGAGGATTGTTTCCATTAGAATATTTTATATTTAATGGTGTTAGTTATCTATATAGATAACTTATTGATAGAACTTGGTGGAAAAGATATATGCAAGGTAATTGTTGATCTACCTTATAAAGTAATAGTGATATGAAGGTGAAATTATGAATAAAGATTATAGTCATGCATTATTGTGACTATATTAACTAATTTACTGATTAAGAAATTATAATTTTGTTAGTTATTTATGAGAATTATTTTAGATATTCTTGATCAGTGGGAGAAGTAGATTTCTCTGCTAAAAATAAGTTTTATTTTACTTGTTGTATCACTTATTATTTTATAATAATGCATGTGCATTGTATTGATAATTTTTATGAGCTCATATAGATATTGTTATTGAGATCTCGAGGTGTAAAGGAAAAAGGCTTCTTTGGGAGTGCATGAACTTCTTTTGAAGTGTAAAGACTTTTTTAGAAAAGTGAGGGAGACTATTTCTTGGTTTCTATGAAACCATAATAAAGTTTAAAGGCTTCATTGAGGAAATGTAAAAGGGATTATATCTTGATAAAATGGTTTCTTTAAAACTATAGCGAGGACTGTTGTGGTTTTTGACATGTTATATATTATATAGATCACATTGTGTCAAACCACACTACACTTTATCGCACTTATTAGAATTAGTATTGGTGGAGATATTTGATGCTTGTGATTGTGAGGGGTCTTGTGTTATTAGTGACATAATGACCACTAAGTTTGGTATTGGTATTTTCATTGAACAGAATTTTGTATTGAGATTTTGATTTATATTTGTGGCCACTAAAGTTGTATTGATCAAAGAGTTGTTTTTTTAAATATGTTTTTAAAAATTTAAAACCAATTAGTGTTGTTCAAGTGGGAGAATGTTGGAAATTTTTATGTGGGTTACTGCTAATTGTGTCAAATGAAAAAACTGGCAAAGGCCAATAAAGTGATGTGATTCAAGTGAGTCTAAGTTTTATCTCAGTTTTATATGGTGTGATATGAATAGATGTAGGGTTTGGAATTAAGGGTTGGCTACTTGATGGGGTACTCAAAAGATTATTATAATGGGTTAGGTCCCCTTTCTCATTTAGAAAACCCTATATCTATAAATAATAGAGTTAGAGAGTGGCATGAGCCATTAGTTGTCACTATACAAAAGTTGAATAGGGAGAGGAAGACCTAAATCCAATATTAACTATATTTATTTTCATAAGTTTTGTCATAGAATCCCTAATTATGATGATCTTGAAAGTCCTTGAAGATTCTTAAGTAATATATTAATTATAGAGATTCAGGTACATAATTTATTTATTTATTGATTTTATGTATATATATTACTTATTTGAATGATTTCGTGTTTTAGAATCTAATTTGTGAGATTAATTATTTTTTAAATAAATTACAATAGTCGGAGGAGGACATGGAAATCGGAGAGGAAGCTGCTCATGGAGAAGAAGCTTATGCCATCTGGGTTCAAGGCGACAAGCTTGGCGATGGTTCGACGGTTTAAACTTGTGTGTTCGAACGCTGTTTCTCTAATCTGACGACTTCATGGCTTTTTTTTTTTATTATTTTTTATGAATATGACTTCATGCTTAAGTGTCTCTTTTTTTTTTTTTTTAGAAGAAAAATGCTTCTTGCTTTGGTTTTTTGTGCTTTTTCCCCAAGTTGCTTCAGAACCAAGTTGTTTTCTTTTTGGGCGTTCCTTTATTCTCAAGAAATAAAAAGATATATTCGTGGGTGAACTAAAAAACTTTATTTTCGTACAACTTAAAATAAATAAAAGAAAGATATTCGCTGAATCAAAAGCAAACATCTAAAGGCGGAGCTCACCATTGTTGTTGAATCATATAATATACTTTCCGCGTAGGGGTAAAGCAACAAAGGAAAGTAACCTCGTACTAGACAAAAGAAAGGTTGTGTTTTGAATTAACGATTCCGCGAAGTTAAATGCTTTTATTGGGGTTCTTGGAGTCTAACATTAAAAAGAAAATTGCTGACTTGCTATATAAATGAAATGACTATAAGTTATGTTGAATGAAGTACTCTCAGTTTTTAAGTTGTGTTTGAATTTTTTTCTTTAAAAAGTTATAATTTATTCAAAAAAAAAATTTAAAGGAAAATTGACAATACCATTTTGATAATCCTATATAATATCGTAGATTTATAAATATAATGTATTATTAAAAAAATATTATATATTATTAAATAAATAAATATATTATAAAAAAATAAATATATATAATCTTATAATTAGATTTTGAAATAAAAAATTAATTATATAATAACTATAAATTTATAATATTATATAATATTATCATTATATACTTTTATAAAAAATTAATTTTTTTAAATATATTATGTTGATATTGAATTACACTTTTAGAATTGTTTAAAAAAAATTAGTTTTAAACTATACAAAAACTAAGTAAGAAAGACCAATATTAATTAAATAAAATAAAGTCCTAGCGGCTAAGAGGTTTAGAGCAACAAGTATTTGGCAAAGGTCTAAAATGCACGTATATTGAAAGAGTTATTTTTTTATTATTAATTTAAAATTTTGTAAGAAAAAATTTTAAAATTAATTTTTTCAAATAAATTTTAAGTAAACTCTATAAAAATTATATATTTAAATTTTTATGAAATTTGCTTAAAATTCATTGTTAAATATAATTTAAAAATTTTTTCTCTTATAAAATTTCAAGTATAAAAAGAATAAAAAATATTTTAAAAACAAATATTTCTTAAAGTTTTGCCAATTATTCTCACTTTATATATTTGTGATAATGGTCCTATGTATGACGGTATCTCAGCATTGTTGTTGAATGGTAGCTTCGGACGAGGGTTTTCTTCCAAACGAAGATTTCTTAACAGCAAGATTCTCTCCAGAAAATGGTGTCCTTATCGTTGCGCCGTTGTGTCTGTGATGGTAGGTAGTTCGAGGTAAATGTCCTCAGACCCATCGTGAACTCCCTAGGCTTGCTCACTTGCTCGTCCCTTGATAGCTGAGTTACGATCCAGGTTAACCTCGGCCCTTTTACAGTAAAGCTACAGTAGATTTGTACATGCTTAATCTTTGTATGAGAGGTTTCCGCGATAATCAACACATATAACCCTGGTTATCTACAAAGAAGAATTCGTGGACACTCCTTTAAAGGCTATAAATATCCCTTAAGGGTCCCTTCACAAAGGTAATTGGAACTTATCTCAAGCTTTGCTTTTATTCCTTCTCTAGCTAGCCTAATTATTACTGATTTAAGTATCAGAGTATCTATCCAAAAACCAACCTTGGGGCTTTGCAGGTCAATCCAAAGAGAAAACTTGGACAAAAGGGAGCTTTAGAGTTCCTTGTAATTGCATTTGGCGCCATCTGTGGGAATCTAAGCTAAAAGCTTTGTTTGTATAGTCACTTCAACATGGTTCACTCACGTTCAACTCAGCACAGAAGTCCACCTCAAGGTCATGGGAGAGGTCAGCTACCCAATGTGAATCCTGCACCTCTTATGACACCAAATCATAAAGTCCATGAGCAACACGTGGAAGAAGCAAGGGAGAATCAACAACAGCACTTGGTTGTAGCCCCAAATGATGCCATAGCTACTCAACTCAACATCATGCAACAACAACTTAGTGTGTTTAAGCTTGTGCTTGCACAATTGTTAGCTAGAGATAACCTTGGAGACCCCCTTATCAATCTGTTAAATCTAACCCATCAAGCGGTTGACCTCCAACCCCAACAGCAGAATGCCAACTCCCAGGTTCAAAATGCAACTCCATCCCATAGTGAGTCACAAAACCAGTCCCACAAAGCTCCACAGCCATCGAATCCACCTCAATTGATCACTTTAGATGTTTCCAAGAGGTTGGATAACTTCGAAAAGATGATGGCTGAGCACCAAGGTGTGTTACCACCTCAACCGAGTGGGACCTCGATGCCCACCCCACTAAACACCAATATCATCCAAGAGCCATACCCACCTGAATTTAAAATGCCTCAGTTCGAGACGTATGATGGAACCAAAGATCCTGATGATCATTTGCACGCATTTTACACTACCATGCAGACTCAAAATGCCTCAGATGCATTGATGTGCAAAATATTCCCATCTACACTACGTGGTAATGCCAGGATTTGGTACTACAGTCTACGACCAAACTCAATTAGCTCATATGCTGAAATGGCAGTGGCCTTTGCCACCAAGTTCTCCAGTCGAAGGTTGATCAAAGAGACAACCCTTGAACTTATGCAAGTTGTCCAATGGGAAGGTGAATCTTTGAAGAATTACATGAATAGATTCAATGATGCCATGCTCAAAATCAGTTCATTCGATCAGGCTACGGGAATCGATGCTATAATTCAAGGCCTCAGCCATGAACAATTCCGAGATAACTTGATCAAGCATCCGCCTGCTACCTTTGATGAGGTCAACAAGAGGTCTCAAAAGTTCATCACAACAGAGGAAAATGCTTTGTCTCGTAAACCAACACCTAGTAGGGAAAGCCGAAGTCCAACATGGAGGGAAGAGATACAAAGAAGGAAGAAGTTGAAAATTGTGCAAAACCAAGATCCAATTCCTATCTCCAAAGCTAATAAACCCAACTCTAGTACCTTACAGGCTCCAGCAAAACAATTCACCTGGACTTCATTCACACTACCAAGGTCACAGATCCTAAGGCAAATAAAAAATAAAATGGAGTTGAAAAGACCAGCGCGAATGCGGGCCTCGGCTTCCTCCAGAAACCAGAATAGATATTGTGACTTTCACGAGGACCACGGCCACACCACAGAGCAGTGCAGTAATTTGGAATCTGAGCTTGAAAGGTTAGCTTGCAAAGGAATGTTGGATGAGTACATTTTAAGTAAGGACCATTAACGGTCACCTAAAATTTTTTTTTCAAAAATTTTTATATTATATATGTATTGAAAATTTATGTGTAAAAAAAAAAGAAAAAGAAAAGAGTCACCACTTTTCTAAATTATAAAGAAGGACAAATCACCCAAAACATGATCATTGCAAAGATGGGGGTCCGAGGATATAGTTAGGAGTAAGGAAAGGCATATGCACACCCCACAATCCTCTGTGTAGAACACGATTGTATACTTTAACATTTGGGGATTTATTCAACTTTTATTATTTTCGATTTTGATCAAGTGAAGTTTAAAAAGTAAATAGATTAAATTGTAAATCTTGAAAATACTTGGATTAAATTGAAACAAAATCAAGAATTAGCACACTGAATTGAAACAAAATTTAAAAGTAGAGGAACTTATTTGATTAAATTCAAAATATAAAAGATTGATTTGCAAGATTTAAAACTGATGAGACAAATTGCTTAATCTTAAAAGTTTTGTGGGGAAACTGGAATTTAATAAAAGGTAATTTTGACTCATGATCATCATAATCATTTTATTTATATTTTTTTTACCTTTTTTTTTTGTTTTTTTAATCAGAAAACTGTTTTTCAATATGGACTGTAAAAAAAATTTGCAACCACACCTCCCAAAACAACGTCATTCGTTGTTTTATCTGAAAATAGTCGCCCAATCTTCTTTTCCCTTCATGCTCGCTCATTCTTTTTTAGCACTTTGATCCTCTATTCCCTTCTTTATTTCTAACACGTTGATCCCCACCTCTCTAACACGATTGTTCCTTCCCTCTTTTTCCAATTGCAAGCTTCTTCACTTGCTTGTTAGAAGGTACTCTATTTATCTCATATATTAGTCACATTGATAATTTCCTTGAAAAATGTAGATAATTAGAGTTTCTTTTAAAACGTTACAAGGTAAATGACAATTTATCCATAATTTGACAACATATGAATTTTGATTTTGTCACAGAAGATGTGAATTTCAACAACGGCTGCAACTCATCCCCATTTGTTGGAAGAATCCAGGTGAGAAAGAAAAAAAAGTAGCTAGTAAAAGAAACAGAGAAAAGCAGTGTTATGGTGTGTTAGTTCGAGAGGCAAATATCATACTATATACTCTGTCATGTTTAGAATTAGACCTTTTTTTAATGGAATTAGTAAAGGATTCTCCAATGACTCAAACACATTTCCCCCTTTTTTATCACGTTTTCTTTGATTTGATTGAATTTTTTTTTCTTACTTAGCTAGCGGCATATTATTGCATTTGGTTCGATGGCTACTTCTTTAGTTTTTGGTACTGGGTTTGAAGAATTTGAAAGAAGACAAACTATTGATGAGATTGATAATGATGAATGTGTAGTCATAGAAAGGGTGGAAGAGTTTGAGGATGAGACATTTTGTAATGAGGATATAACAGAAGGAGATATTGATGTAAGTCATGCTAATGAAGGAAAACCTCATATTATGATGGAATTTTCAACAGATAATAGTGCTTTTGGTTTTTACAATGAATATGCTAAAAGGATGAGCTTTAGCATCCAGAAGGAATCAGCCAAGAGACCGAAGCCAGATAAATTAATTAATCGAAGATATTTTGTTTGCTACAAAGCAGTTTACAAACGAAAGCCCAAGAGTGACACTGTCAAGAATCGTGCTTGTCAAAATCAAGACGATTGTCAAGCTCGGATGGCTATTCATCTAAAGAATGGAGGATGGATCATCAAGCAATTCTTTGATGATCATAACCATGAGATGTTTTCCTTTCCAAATAAATCAAGAAAATTGTCGTCCCACAATAAGCAGCATCTCCAACCATGTGCAACAACATTAATGGATCAATATAGCAATGCAAGATGTGGTCCAACAAAAATTGCATAGCTTTTGAATGCAACAGGGTTTGGCAACTCATACATTACACCTGACTAGTGCCAATAACACTTGAGAAAGAAAAGAGAGAGTAATATTGGTCTTGAATGTATGGCCATTGTGCAACAATTTCTAAACATGACCTCTTTGGATGATAAATTCTATTACTCCATTGAGATAGCTGAAGATGGTGTTTGTAGGAGTATTTTTTGGGTAGACAGGAGAGCAAAGGCAATGAACGAACACTTTGGGAATGTAGTGGTTTTTTACATCACCTATAAGACTAATCAGTTCTTTATCCCTTTTGCACCATTTACTGGTGTGAATCATCATGGACAATCTACACTTTTTGGATGTGCTCTCCTACCTGATGAACAAGAAGAATAATTTGTTTGGTTGTTTGAGCGATGTCTAAATAGCATGGGAGGAAAGGCACCTAAAGCACTCATCACCGACCAAGGCCCAGCAATTATTTATGCAATTAAAAAAGTGTTTCCAAACACAAGACATAGGTTTTGCATATGGCATATCTCTCTTCATGCAGATGAACATCTCCGTTCTTTATGATCTCCCTATAATCTAAATTTTGATCAACATTACTTTAAGTGGGTTTAGAGCAAAACCATTGAAGAAGCTGAGAGTGCATAGGTAACACTAAAACCTAATTATAAGCATGAATATAAAGGGCCATTAACTAAGAAGCAACATAATGAGAAGAAATCATGGAGGTGGTTGGAAAGTATGTATGAAAAAAAAGGTATAATTGGATTGATGCTTATCTGAAAGACACTTTTTTTGCTAGAATGAGATCAAGCCAATGGAGTGAGAGTATTAATGCTTTTTTTTTATGGCTATGTGAATTCTATGACTCCATTGCATGAGTTTGATAACTAAGTTTGTTAACCAATATTCAAAGGCTTTACAATGTCTCGTGAGGAAGAGGAGAATGAGGACCTTGTTACAATGAGAATGAAGCCTAATTTCCAAGGCATGTATCCCTTAGAAGTTCATGTTGGAAAAGTGTACATAAGAAAGATTTTTACAAAGTTCCAACTTGAGTTTAAAAAAGCCTTCCTTTATTGTTGGCATGATGGTGGAGTGAGCAATAATGATGGAGTTACAACATATGTTGTTCATTATGAGGTGGATGGTAAATTTGACTCACATGTTGTGCATTGTGGCCTATTGGAAGGGCAATTTAATTGTTGTTGTGGGATGTTTGAAACTGTAGGTATGCTGTGCAAACATATTTTATATGTAATGAAGCAATGTTATCAATTAAAGTTGATTCCTGAACAGTAGATCTTGTCTAGATGGACTCTTGCTCACAAGCATAGGAGTAAGAATGGTGGACCTCGATTGATTAGTACATCAAAAGAAACCAAAGTTATACCTCTTGAAGCTTGGGATCTTCAAAAGGCGTTGGATGAAATGTATGAGAAGCAATCAAGCATTGAGATCTTTATAATGCTACTACTACAATACTAGATGATTTAACAAAGCAATTTGGTAACATATGGATGGAACAAGAAGAGCCTTTTATTGTCCAAAGTGAGCAAGTTATCTCACAAGTTGCACTTTCAACAAATATAACAATTCAAGATCCAAAAAAGGCTAAACCTAAAGATAGACCAAAAGAGGCTACAAGGATTCTTTTGGGAAAACAAGTTTCTCGAGTTGAAGCTCAAAAAAGGTCACAAACTTGTGGTGTCTGCCATGATAAAGGTCATCACATTAGGACTTGTCTAATTGCCAAGGAAAGAGCCAAAGAATATGTATAATATATGGATGCTGATTTTCTTTCATTTTTTATACTTAATTTCTTTTTGCATTTCAATTTTGGTTGACCATGTTGGTAATGCTATGATTTTTCATTTTTTAGGAAGCATCTATAACTGAAGCTACATGTTCACAATTGGGAGAAGCACCTCATGACTCTGTGCCACAAAATTGAAATTGGACAAAGGGGCACGGATGATGCATTTTCTCAAAGGGGTAACTTCTAATGTGGTTTATTTTGTTATTGTTATGGTGAATTCCATAATTCCAAAACCAAATTGAATTTTGTACATGCAAACTAGTATATTGGATGTGGTTTAGGCAAATAGTCAACATTATGTAAAGGCAACATGTAGCATTTTGTGTAGGCAAATGTGCAGATATGTATAAGAAAATAGGTAGTATTTTGGCATCATTTTGGCAACATTTTGTGTAGGCAACATGCAGTATATGTATAAGAAAACATGCAAAATATGTATAAGAAATTAGGCAATATTTGGTACCATAATCTTTGCTTTTATCATTTCAATACCATATGCCAATTTGTCTTTCTAATAGCAAGTGCAGAATATGGACAATTTGGCAGCATTTTGCTAACATTTTGGCAACTTTTTGCTAGTATTTTGTGTAGGCAAACATGCAAAATATGTATAAGAAATCATGTAGTATTTTGGCAGCATAATCTTTGCTTTTATTATTTCAATACCATATGTCAATTTGTCTTTCTAATAGAAAGTGCAGAATATGGACAATTTGACAGCATTTTGGTAATATTTTGTGTAGGCAAACAAGCAATATATGTATAAGAAAACATGCAAAATATGTATAATAAATCAGGCAATATTTTGACAGCATAATCTCTACTTTTATCATTTCAATACCATATGCCAATTTTTCTTTCTAATAGAAAGTGCAGAATATGGACAATTTGGCAGCATTTTGGTAGTATTTTGTGTATGCAAACATGCAATATATGTATAAGAAAACATGTAGAATATGTATAAGAAATCAGCTAGTATTTTGGCAGCATAATCTCTACTTTTCTCATTTCAATACCATTTGCCAATTTGTCTTGCTAATAGCAAGCGCAAAATATTAATAATTTGGCGGCATTTTGGTAGTATTTTGTGTAAGCAAACATGCAGTATATGTATAAGAAAACATGCAAAATATGTATAAGAAATTAGCCAGCATTTTGGCAATAAATGGTGCATAATCTCTGCTTTTGTCATTTCCATATCATATGCCAATTTGTTTTTCTAATAGCAAGTACAGAATATGGATAATTTGCATTAGAGACTAAATCAAATTTCTATTTCAAAATAATTGTATTACATAAGCCATTTTTAGGAACAAATAGAATTCAGAAGTTAAGACAAAGAAATTATGCCTACAGTCAAAACTATCAAAAGTAACTCCACTATAACAAAAATCAAGCTATTGATACAAAATCCATTAGCAGAACTCATTTTCTCCTTTTCCCCTGTACCAATCCATTTCTTCCTTGGCCAATTTATGTTCCACAGCCTTCAATCACACTTTAACTCTCCAATAGCATTAATCAAACTAAAAAAAAAAAAAAGGTGAGTTGGATCTTTCATTGTCAAAGCTTCCCCTTCTCTTTTGCTAGCATGAATTCTCCTTCAAAACAGTTAATACCACAACACCCATATATGATTCTACAAAAAAATAAATAAATAAATTCAAGCAACAAATATTGAAAAAAAGTTGTGCAACCTAGAAGAACAAACTAAGCCACAACAATATCCTCCTCAAGAGTAAAATGACACCATACGAACCCACCATGGGTTGCCTATTCCCCCTCACTTGCAAATTGGACCCTTACTGCTCTTTAATGTTGAAAAAGGATGTTCAGGGGAGAAGTAGTCTTTTACTGATTGATTAGAAGAAAAGTAATCATATTGGAGATGAGGCACTCAACAAACGACTTTCGAACCTAGTTGCATGGGTTCCTTGTCAAATTTGAATCTAAAGAAGAGGGTTTGAAGCAAGGTTTTTAAAATCGGACTGGATCGGTTGGTTGAACCGGTCAGACCGGTACCCGGTAATGATAACGGCTCGGTTCACACAAAAAAACCGTTTGAGGTCAAAATTGGTCAAAACCGATCAAAACCATTCAAAACCGGTCAAAACCATTCAAAACTGATCAAAACCGTTCAAACCGGTGGAACTGGTAGAACCGAAAAACCCACCGGTTCAATTTCTCATGCAATTTTCTTTTTAGTTTTTCCAATTTCACCCTCACCATTCCTTTCTTATACCGATTTTAACCCTTAATTTTAATGAAATTACAAAATTACCTATCCCTCTCATCAAATTGTCCTTGTTATTTGAACTGGTCGGTTCATCGGTTGAACTGATCAAATCGAAAACCGAACCTGAAAACGGTTCAATAACCGGTCCGGTTTTAAAAACCTTGGTTTGAAGTGCGAAAAGATGAAGGTAAATGAGATCTGAAACCGGAATGAGAGGAGTCACTCAACAAACGAGGGCTCCTTCTCGGATTTGACTCTAAAGAAGAGGGTCTGGAGTGCGAAGAAGATGAAGGGGAATGAGATGGGAATGAGATCTGGTGTGAATTGCGAAGAGAATAAGAGGAATAAAGGGTTTTATAAGGAACGATGTAGTTTTATGGGGTGTGAACAGTAACATTTTTTTACAATCTGTACCGAAAAACAGTTTTTTGTCCATTGTTTTGAAACCTGAACCGGTGGTAGAATTGGTTTGGTGATCGATTTCTAGTTTTAACAGTTTAACCGATTTGACTGATTCAATCGACAATCCACCCGGGTCAAATGAAAATGCCTGAAATTTGTAATTTTGGGTTATGGACTCTTCCACAACAGTTGACTGCTATCTTTTCCATTTTTTTTCTTGCACTTTTCAATATTATATAACAATTTTTAGTCTAAATTAAAGTTAATAAATATATAAATTCATATAATAATATAAAAAAATCCCAAAACTAATTATATATTAAAAAAATATTTTAAAGCTAAGCTATTAATCAACTTTAAAAAATGATATATTCAAGCCACGTAAATCAACTTAAAATATTTTCATCTTATAATCATAACATACAAAATACATTATTTCACTTAAACAATTAATCAAACACCTTAAAGATGTTAAAAAAAAAAAAAAAAGTGATTAATTGTTTTTAGGCAAAGTAATAAAATTCCACAACGAAATGCTAAGAAATTGAAAGGCAGTGAGCTTACTAGCAAAAAGAAGAAACGGAGATGCAAGCAACTTAAACAGGCATGATTAACAGTTGAGGGGGAAGGAAAAGAGTATTTGCAGCAGCAATTGGAGATGGACAGTAAAGGTTGGATACCGATCTGCTGCTCGACTTAGAGAAGTGATGGAGAAGCGATTGAGGCCGATCTGCTGTCGATTTACTGCCTTGTGGTTTTTTCTTCGCCGAAAAACTAGAAAAGTGATGGAGATTGAAGAATGGAGACTAGACTGGAGAATGGAGAATCATGGACTGATGGAGAGTGAAGAGCGGAGAATAGAGTTTTGTTTGTCTTGAGATTTTGTTTTTGTGGTGGAAATTGGAAAAAGTAGTTGAGTTTGAGTGTCATGGTGTCACTGATCGTGGAAAAGGAAAAAAAAAAAAGTTGCAGCGACCAATTCGCTAGGCGATTTTTCCGGGCTTGACAGGCAGAGCGGGTCGGTGATTTTTCTTGGATTTGGATAGTCCAATCGTCCAAACAGGCATGGGCATCTACCCAGCTCATTTTAACAATCGGGTGGCGGTTGAACTGGTCAAATCGATCGGTCTAGTCTGACTTTGAAAACATTGCTTCTGTCTTTTCATTGGTCCATAAACTTGCTAGGGTCAACCCGAGTCACAAACATAATCTAGAGATCAATTTGGGTCCAAACAGATCAAACTGAACAAAGATCGGAGATTTTTAGGTTTCTCTCCTTTTTTTTTTTATAGTTTTTAGAAAAATTAAATGGTAGAACTTTGGGTGGCCAATCAGATTTCGATCCAAGGAATCCCACCCACAAGATTAGGCCTAGATCATTCCCCTCACTACCACTCCAAAATTCCTTTGTTTAAGAGAATACCAATAGAAAAGGGAGCAACCGATGACTGAAAACTAGAAGAGGCCAGCAATTTAGAGGAGAAGAGGAAAATCCCAGGAGCTGGTTTGGTTGCTGTGAGGAGGAAAGGATGTGCGGTTGTTGTGCGGTGAAGACGAGCAGATCTGGAGATTGGAAGTCGACAAGAGGAAGTACGATTTAGATCTAAAGATAACAGAGTCACTATTGAGGGTGCCAAGAGGATGGAGATTAGATGGGGACAATGATGATGGTGATGATGAACGGTGGATGGAGACAATGGTTTTGTGGTGGACGAAGAAGCTAGTGGTGATGGTGGCTGAAATTTGGGAGGTCCCTGGTAGGGGTGGGCAAATTTCGGTTTTGATATCCACCAAAACCAATATTTCAGTAACTGAAATTTTTCGGTATTGATTTTTAAGATCAATACCAGTACCAGCGTTGCCCTTTTTTTTTTTTTATTTTGGGTATCAAAATTTTCGATTTTCATTTTTCATGTTTCAGTTTTCACTGCATGTTAACAACCTTTTAACCATTTCCACAAGCATCCCTCACTTAAGCCAAAATTTGACAATTTTTCTTGAAAATATAAAATGAACCAATCTAAAATATTGAAAGTATACCTGTTTCATAATCTAATTTTTACTTTCAAATACATTAAATCCATATCATGAATGAAGAAACCAATTATCACAAATCTATGCAAATTTGAAGCATCCAAATTTTAATAAATATCAATAAGCAATTAAACATCATTACTTCAATAACATAATATTCACATTCATTCATCATTTCAGATTGAAGTTCACATTGAAAGTACAAAACCAAGTTGATAAAACCCCATCAACTTGTAACAATACTTCCTATCATTCAACAATCTAGATTGATGATTGATGGAGTAATAACTAAATAAAAGCACTTACAATAACTAATAAATACACATCTACCATCATCAAAAAAGGAAATGACATGCAACTTTCTATGTGCATTTTGTTAAGTGCCCAAACTATGTACTGATATTATATGGTTATATGCAAAGCTATCCAAGCAAGTAGTAGCAACAGCTTGACCAAGTTAAAAGTGCCCCAAAAGCTATCCAATTGTCAAAGTTAGTGGAACCCTCCAAAAAAGCCAAGAAGCTTCATCTTTGATTCTATACAACTATAGTTGTAATATATTTATATACTTGATGATAATTGCTGTCTATCAACACAAAAGATCCAAAAAAAGCTCCACCATATATTCTTGCATATCTAGCCATTAGACAAAGTCACAAACATGAAAACAAATTAACATAAAACAAGGTCTATAAATTAAATAATTGTAAAGAGTAATTAAATATGATATTTATTACATAACCAAAAAAATTAAATATGATATTTACTATTTTAAAAGTTAGAAAAAATTAAATAAATTTACTTTACCTGTTACCTTATCATCAAAACTGCAAACCATAAAACCATTCATGCTAGAATGGTAGAATCCAAATGTAGTTTGTCAAATTCTACAAATGAATAAACATAAAGTTAAATAATGTTTAAAGTTAATTGAATTAAAACTTTTGAATAATATATCACACCTTGTTCCATGCTATCCAGCACATCAAAGTCTTCCTCTTCAGAAACTGATTTGGCTCGTAACCAATCTTGAGCACAAATAAGGGCTTGAGCCATTCTAGGGGTTAGTGAAGATCTGAAGGCATTCAAAGCTCTACCTCTTGTGCTAAATGCTGACTCATAAGCCACTGTGGAAAAGGGAAAGGCTAGAACATCTCTAGCCATGGTTGCCAATATTGGGAATCTTGGAGCATTCATTTTCCACCATTGGAGAATATCAAAATCTTCACTATCACTCTCTTGATCCTCCCCTGATCCTCCCCTAAATACTTATCTAACTTTGTTTTTTCTAAATTTTGGCCACTCTCAATTTTGTATCTCTTGTAGACAAACTTAAGCTCTTTCCCATACTTTTGCCTTGACTCAATCTCAATTGGAGCGTCAAAACCAACAATGTTGCCCTCTAGAATTACATCTTGAACACCACAAGAAGCCATTCTTTTGTATTCATTAAATAGCCTTCTTAAATCCAAACTCACCATGTCTGCATACTGCTGTCCTTTCTCTAAGCCAAATAGTTTTAGCAACAAAAACTGAAGAAATTGCAATTTGTTTCTTGGATCAAGAACAACATGGAAAATGTTCTTATTCATGTCATTGGGACTACTCCAATAATTTTTATACTTTGATCTCATTTTACCAACCATATCACAAGCATCCACATCCTTTTCCCATTTTTGAGGCATAAAATCTAGCTTAAATAATAAAACAAACATGTATCAAGAACATATATATAAACAAATGTATATAAATTTAAAAAAAAAAAAACATGAAATGAAGCAAAAAGGAATGACCACTAAGTTACTTAGGTCGTTGGTAAAATTTTAATCTTAAATTAAGTTATTTTAATTTAATTAAAATTTAATTTAAAATTTAAAAATTTCCATTAAAACCAGTTTGTATCAAGAACATATCTAAAAACAAATGTATATAAATTTAAAAAAAAAAAAACATGAAATGAAGCAAAAAGGAATGACCACTAAGTTACTTAGGTCGTTGGTAAAATTTTAATC